CTGAACGCCTATAAAAGTCAATTTTATGAGGTCAGCAGAGTCATGAATTAGAGACATTAAATTAGCAAACAGACACTAAAGCTGAAAAACTAACCTGAGGAGAAGCCTGTGAGAATTTCTAAGTGTTAGCAGCACATTAAAATAAGGCATAGGTGAATGCACATAGCTTATGTGTATACATTAGAGAGATGTCCTTGAGGTGCGCAATTTATTTCATCAAGATTTGAGTGGGAACCAAAAGTTTTGTGCTAAACAGACACAAAAATCTAAGAATTTCCCATTTTTTTTAGACTTTCTTTTTAAAAGTCATGTGGAGTCAACTGAATTGCTTTATTTTGATAATATCAGATTATATATTCCACACAAAGGGTTGAAATAATATCAAAGTGTCAAAAGAAAACATTTCTTAAAAGTCTCTCTGAAACAAGATTCAAAATGTCACAGGGGAAAAATGTTGAAACAAGCATTCAACTATTTCAGTTTGATCATTTCTACATTCTCTTCTGGTTTCATGTGTGCATGAAAATTAGCCTGTTCCTCTGAAAAGTTCCACTTTCAAAAAAATGTTATATTTGATAGTAACTGTTCTTTTAGAGCATTGGGTGAAATGTTCCTCTCATGGAGCTCATGCTAACAGCCACGGCAGTCAGTGGGTCTGATTCCTGCACCCACTAATGTGGCCCTCACATCCTTCCCACGAGGGACAAGGAGAAACTGAATAATTTAGAGGACAGGATTTACATACTTTTGGAGCTTGCCTTCATTGGATCATGAGTTGAACAAGCAAGGGTATCCAGACTCGAAGACATGCAAAACTCAACTGGGTAAGGCCCTGAGTAATCTAATTAAGGGAAGATAGCTTTATGTAAGTTTGAGTTCGGCCCTGTTTTGAGAGGAGAGCTGGATCAACGACCTCCAGAGGTCCTTTCCAACCTACATTTTCCTGAGTCTACCAAACAATAAGGACCATCGTGGTCAGATTTCACTATCTTAATTATTTCAGAGGACAGAACAAATACTTCCTTTGTTCCTAGGATAACTACCCTCCTCATGACAGCCACAATGTGGTTGTGTAACCTTGTCCTGTGTTGCTAGAGCTTACTGCATTTGGATTTCCCCCTGCTCTCCAGCTTTCCTTCCCCCAGGAAACAAACTGATCTTTGAATTCAAACAGGTATTTTCGGCAACGTTTTTGACTGCTTATTAGGACAGATGGTGCTCCTCTTGGCATTACGTGCAACTGTTATTCTGACTCTAAACACAAGGGAGGTATCTCTGGCATATTTAATTGTTTACTTATCTGAGAGACACCTACTGGAAAGTGCTACCCAGTGCTGGACATCAAAGGATTCCCGTGACATGCCTGACAGCAAGTTACTGCAAGAGACTTTGCAGAAAGGGCAAAAGAAGAAATTCAATAAATAAATTGGAAAGAACAGCCAAGACACACCATTTCACATGTTGAATAAGCAAACAGCAGAGGAAAACCACGATGCATTGCTAATTAACTACAGTGGGAAAACAATTCTTCCAAGCAGTTTATTACAGTTCTTTACTTCTCTCTCTGCTGCAGCTGACAGCATTACGCTAGTAATAGTTTGCTATTAAAGGCCATTAGAGTAAAAATTATGCCTGTAAAAATGACATCTTAAGCTCTCATATTTCTTCCCTCCCAGTGATTCAGCAGCAATTTTCCTCCACTTAGATGTCAAAAGATTATATATATTTTTTTTTTTTTTTTTTTTTGCTAACTGCTGCTACTGTGACTTCCCTTGTGTTCAGAAAGTCGAGCTGGGTTCCTCCTGCCCTACACCATTATTGGTAACAAGGTTCCGCAATCGGAGTGTGGGTGACAATTCTGCTGATGGTGAGGGAGGCAGAGAAGCAACAGTCCACAGCTCAGCAGGATTTCCATTCAATGGCCCCGAGAGTCAGATAATAGAAATCTTTTTATGCTAACAGAAGTCGTTTAAGTCACACCAATTTTTGCAGTAGCTGGTGATTTGATGTATGTGATGGTTTGGGCATTTAAGCAGCTATTTATTCACTGAGAAAAAAGTAATTATATCTCTAAGATTATCAATAGTTTTAGTCACAAGCTGAAATGAAGACATTTTCTTATTCTATATTTCTGCTTCCTTTCAAGCTAAAGCTGTTTTCCTGTGCTCATAAAGAATATCTATTATGTACTGGTATGACAGTGTGATGGATGAATATAAAGTGTTCATACATACACATGATTAATACGATGTCCAAGTTTAATTAAATATTAATTCTTACTATTATCAGTCAAGACCTATGTTTCTGCAGTTCCTTGAAAATGTTAACTTCCCTGTTAGCTACAGCAGAGTAGATGATGCAAAACACATTCTCTCCTCTGCCTCTGTTATGACATTCTTCATTGAAGGGGAAATACAAGAATCCCCTCCTGGAGCTGTAGATCTTCCAAGTAGCTCCATAAAGCTAAGGCTATTGTAACACTTTTCCTTTCCCATATCAGACATTTGCTACATGCATGAATCAAGTGCTAACATTTTACAGATGGCTCAAAAGAAGTCCGTACCTCCTAGAGCCTTATTTATGGCTCTTATGGCCACTGAGATATATTTGGCTACCGAGGATTTGTGACTTGCCCAGTGTCACTTGGTGGCTCCATGAAACAGTGCAGTGGCCAGTCTCTGTTTCGGATCAGTTCCCAAAGTGGACCTCATGTGTTAAAAACACTATCCCAGCATCTCCGAGGGGATGCAGGTGCACCTCTATTATGTTCGCAAAAGCTATAAAAAAAGCTCAAGTTTCAGTGACTCATTGTCCCAGTCTGTGGGGCAATCTCCTCCATATCCCCAGATGCATCACCAGCAGGAGCTGCCACAGTCACTCGCACACAGTGCCCACGAGCTGTAAGAGCAAAATGTTTTACCCTTTCCCCAACTGGACTGGCGCTTTGCCTGCCGGCAAGCTCCTCCTTACAGTCAGTGCTACACGTAAAACCAGAAAGCAGACGTAAATGCCTGATGAACTGTACATCAGCAACACATTTGTACCTAACAGCCTTCAGCACTTTGGGTAGAGAAGACATAATATCACATTCCTTAGTAGCAGGATCACGGACAGCTTGCCAAATGTGAAACTTGTGTATATGTGAAGACAGGAGATGGCAGATAAGAGGAAAGCTGTGAAGCCAAAGAGAAAATAGGCAGAAAATGAACTTCAGTTATATTCTTGCCTTGTACAACTGAATGTTGAATCTGCTGTGCTGGCCCAAGGCTTTCACGGAAATGTAAGTGTTGTAAAGCATGGGTGTTTGTTGTTGCCACTTTGCCTGTATGCAAAATCCTACACATATGTGCACACACATGTATGCACACTCCTTGTATTATACCCTGCCTTTCCTCCAGTAAAAAAAAAAAAAATCTCGAAAAGCACATCAACCTTTAAGTGTACAAGTTTATAGCTTCTAGGTTCTCACAGACAAGAAAGGAAAGACTGAGACTAAGGAACAGTATTGCATATCAACACACTGGTGACCTAGCTCTGACAGCAGCATAACTTAGCTGTGGTCCATGGCAAGGACAGCTATTTGTGGTAGTGACTGTCTGCATA